GGAGTGTCCCACCAGTGACCTGCCAGGACAGCTCATGAAAACTGTGGCCTGGCACTTCATGGGTGTCAGTCAACTTGACCGCACATGCAAAGTTGACCCTGTTGCAAGGTTGACTTTAACAAAGTCAAAAGCAGCTCTGGAGGGACTGGTAACCACATTGTTGGATAAAATAAACCTGCCCATTTCAGTCTACCATGTTAGGATATAATTTAGAACTTTGAAACCAGAGAAGCAAAATCATCCCTTTTGGTTCTGTTCCTTGTGCTGATCTCTATTCTCAAATAGTGGATTTGGACATCTGATACAGCTGAAAATGCATTTCTCTTTCCAAATGAATGAATGCTGCTGTTTTGAGTTTATTTACACTCCTTCTCTTGTCTATAGCTATTTCCTTTTATTTCTATTATGTGATTGCTAGAATATTTTTTTTATTTAAAGTTGTACGTTCTGGTCTAACACATGTATTTTAATCCAATAAAATCCTTTATCTTTTATAGAGAGAAAGTTGCAAAGACATATGCATTAGGACTGTCCACTTCATCAGTTTTCTGTCTCTTCAAATGTAATAAGAAATGACTTGAAGTATTCTACCCCAGTCTCAACAGTCACTATCAAGGGAAGAGCTCACAGCTCTGCAGCGTGATCTCAGTGCGTGCCGACTCCACAGCCCAAAGGAAGAGATGATCCGGCAATGATTAAGACTTTTTTTCATAGATTACTCTGCAGAAAAGTATGCTCAGTGATAATTACTTTGTATTCAAATTCCAGAATGGGCATCCCACCAAGGTGAACAAATCTTCTCCAAATGGACAGCTATGAGTATTTCAGGCGTAAAACCTGAAAATTTTTTTTGAGGACATCATATCATTATTACTAGAAAGTTGTCCCTGAAACTATGGGGTGCTCAAAATCTGCTACTGAGACTCTGTCTTGGTATGCACGGTGATGTGATAAAACATGAGCAACTAAAGGAAAAAAGGAGTTACTGCTATTTTTGAGTCACTGTTCCTGTAATGCCTCAATGCCTTAACCAGAAGGTGCCTATTTGCTCACCTCTGTGCTTAGGAAGCATGCCTTTAAAACAGTTTACCTGCTAAGAAGACAGGAGGATGAAGACTATTGCCATGTCCATTTTGCAGGGGGAAGTTAGAGGAAAGAGGCAGAAAGGGTAACTAAGTGAAGCACAAAAAGAGTTGAGGTGTAACAGGTTGGCTCAACTGGAGGGTTTTGCTCTTTCCCACAAGGAAACGCTATTGTCCCAGCCAAGACACAAGTCCATGGTAGAGCTGGGCTCCCAACACCATCTCCAGGTTCACAGGGGAAGCCCTTAATCCCCAAACCATCCTTTCTTTACTCTTTCTGTATGAAGATCTGGAGATCAATGTGATTTAAAAGGGAAAAAAAATTAATACTACTTAAAAAAACTGTACTAGTTAAAGTAGTTTTTCTAGCGCATAATGATTTTAATTCCATTGTAAGAAAACAAAAGAGAACTTCTCTGACTCAGAAATAGGCTGCTGTCTCACCCACCAGCTTCCAGTTATTCAAGTAGTGCTTTATTCATTTTTTGATCTGCTTTATCAGGGAGAATTCTTGCTTGGCCTTAACTGATTGTTTCACTGATTTCTTTCAGAATATTACTTTTCACTAATGCTAATTCAAGCCAACATCCCTCAGCAAGCAAACAAGCAAGGAGCAAACTAATTGGGGAAATATTTTTCCTTTTCTGATGATACATTTTGATGTAGATTTTGAAAGTAAATGCTCTAAATAAGAGGGGAAAGGTACAGAGAGTACTACTTCAGTCATTCCAACGTCAGATCTGCCTCTTAGGATATCAGGGAATGGTTTGTGTGCATTGACGAAATCTTCTCTTACGCTACAAAAAACATTGCCAAAAAGAAAGCAGCAACTCGTACTTTAAGCGTGGAAGGAACTGGAAAACATAAGTCTGTAGTGGGAAAAAAGGTAGAACCATACAAGATTTTTTTTATGGTTTAAATAATGCCACTCTCATAAGGTTCGCTTTACTTCCACATTCGATAATTTTAAAGGGATCAGTGTGGGAATAAGTTGTGGTATCAGCATGGAAATTATTTTTTGTGGTTCTTAAGAAAGACTTACAACAAGTGGTTCTTCCTGAAATGCTCTTAGCAGAAGAGTAGGTCCCCTCACAACGTTCTTTTTAGATTATTCTGAACAGAAAATATAGAACAGCGATCTAATATCTGTATTTATAGTAATTCCCATTTCATCTTGCAACTCAGTTTTGAAAATATTGATTGTATGGGGAGAGTATTCTGGTGCTTCATGAGATTCAAAATGAGCTTTTCAGGTTTTATAGCAGAACCATGCAAATACTTTAGGGGAGACTCCGCTACCACTGCTAAAAAAAGTAAAGTAAAAGATCTGAGTTCCTTTCACAAGTGTATCCATTTAAAAAAGGGGGAAAAATAAACCAACCTAAAATACGCTTTCTGAATGATATTTATTTTTCTTTCACATTAGAAATGTATCATATTAGGTGCTTATGTCTTTCCAATCACCGTGCCACCTGAGCAGTGTGTAATTTTTGCTGTATTTATGTTTATGACTGCCAGTCAGAATAAGAAAAAGTATAGTTTCATCTCCTCCCAGATGGCAAACAAGGAAATGAGCCATTTGTTTGAAAGAAAAATCTATGGCAAAGCAAGAATTTGAAGCTGGGGCTCATGCAAAGCAGTCCAGGATCCTAACTGGAGCCATTATTGTGCTTGCTAAGAAGAAGCTTCAGCTTTAGGAATTCTCTGAGAGATGTCTTGTAACAGTCCGTTTCATTCTGCAGCTACTTTTTTAACTTTTCAACTTACTAACATCAATTGACGGTCAAGCAAGTACCACTGTGAACTCATGAATAAACATAGTTATCATTTACATATTAACAGAGGGCCTTTAGCTGAGAAGAATCCATTTGTCCTACTGCAATATCTTAATTATTTACTGTGTTATATTGTAATTAGTTGTATTTTACTCGCTCAAAACTCTATAGTATGTATATCTTATGGGGTTTGGAACCAATGCACTGATATTAAAGTGGTAATCAACACCGCTTCTAAATATTCATGCCAATAAATGACTCCCATGTGTTTGCAGAATGCCAAAGATGGTCTGAAGCATTTATTTAGCATTCTAGTGTGATTTAGTTTCTGTGAAGTTCCCATAGATGCAGAATTTCAATATTGTTGCTGGTTTGCATGGGGAAAGGGAAAATATGTTTGAATTTGCACGAGCAGTGGGGCAGGACACTCAGGAGAAAGCAATGGTATCGCAGTCACAATCTGTGCTTAATAACGTCTGAGCGCACGGGGGAGTTGTCAGCTATTTTTTATTATAACAAAATTACAATTTTGTTTAGTCTACGACAGCCTCCTCACAATTTCACTTTTTAATAAACATCTACAATTTTCCGAATCATTTAAAAATCATTGCATTTCATGGGCGGGCTGCTCTGACTGTCACGCAGCCGGGGCTCCATCAAGGCACCACTGTAGCAATCACAAATTCAGACACGTTTCGCAGTAAATCAATTAAATACCATAACCCTAAAATTATCCTGCTTCAGCACTGCAATTGGCTGACATAAAGCTTCAGAAAAGCAGGTTGAGTGTACAGAGGAACAACTGATTTATTGAGCTACCGTCGGAATTTCAAAACAAGGAAATGCTGTCGCGCAATCCAGTAAGTTTGTTTAACAAAATGTAAGTTGAGTGTAAACAGTCTTAAAATACATGTGAGTTCAGTCTTTTGGGTGGAGAGCAACTAGCATATCGTAAGCCGTGCTTTCTCCTTTGAAGCACCTTTTCAAGAGCCTGTATAGGTGCGCTGCCCCTTTCTGCAAAGCGTTTGACCCTCCGCTCCCTCCTGCCTCCGAGGGCGAGTGGATCACCAGACCTTTCTGAAGCTCTCTCACAGCTTCCAGAAAAATAGTGGATTTACCTTTGGATGCTTGAGATGAAAAAGAACTTGTTTTATCATCAGGGGAACAGCAATATGAAGATTGCACGCAGTCATGACAGTGGTGAAAAACGCGATCCAGATGTCCTGATCCCTGCTCCATGCTGGAGCGCAACTGGGATTTCCGTCTGCTCTGCTGTTGATGTCTTGTTTAGAAAATTCTCTTAAGTACTTGTATATGTAAAAATACTTTGTCAGTTGTTCTCACAGAGATACTTGATAATCTGATAATACTGTTGACCATGTTTCTAATTGCTCCAACACCAATTCTTTTTTTTTTTAAGCTAAAACTTAATTATTCCTTATGAAAAGTTTAATATACAGATTAAAATATTTAGCTGTTTATAGGGAAAAAAAAAAAAAAAAGTTCAGCATGACTGTACTTTAATTTCCATGATGGTCTTAGATCACATATGCAGTTCTACATGCAAATATTTAGCATACGCAGCCTTAAGGGAAAAAGCATTTCTGTTAGAGCCACCCCACTGATGGTGATCACTGCACTGCGGGTCTGCTCTTCATGGATGTACTGGCTTTGAGCATGGATATCTTAAACTGAAAATGGTCATGCAAAGCCCAAACCTGATTACCTGTACCTCATTTTAAAAAAACAGTACAGCAAGATTGAGCATTATAAAGAGATTATATTGGTGTTTAATGTAGTTATGCTATTATATGGAGAGGAAAAGGAGAAAATTGAAAACTGTCTCAGATGTCTCCTGGAACTGATGTGTACTGCATCACTATGCTTATCTTCCCAGGCAAGATGGGCTCTGATGTGCAAGGTTGGAAGTGATGCGATTGCTTAAGGGCTCACCATGGTGTCTTGAAGACCTGGGTGTGATATCCTGCAGCACCCTGGTGCCTCTCGATGTTCCTTTGCACTGAGCTGTGGCTAAAGGGCTGCTACACCACCAACGCTTCTCTTTGTAGTTGCTTGCTCCTCCCAAGCAGGGCCCAGATCGGCTCTGGGTTTGGACTCATCCAACTCTGTTTTCCTTTTTCAGAATCACCCGGCACTGCTGCAGTTTGTAATACAAGCTGAAAGTAAACATCTAGTCATCAATCTGGAGAGGAACGAGTAAGTACCCTTGTTGCATGTTCACTTTGTACTGGACGTTCTCAGAGAAGGGTTATAATTTTGAAATTGATGGTTTAAAAGTAACCTGGGGCCAAGTTTGCTACTGATCCCTTATGGAACAGGACCCTAACAAGAGAGTTTTGTTCCAGTTTGGATTGTGTCTTATTTGCACGCTGCTTATAGAGCAAGAATCTCTATGGTCGTCTGCATTTATGTGGGACTGAAAATGGACATGTTGCCTCTCAATGTTTTCCTGTTGATAATCATATTTATTTGATTTGGGCTTGTCCTCCTTTCCTGTGGTAAGCCCTTTTATTTACAGTAATGTGGAAAATCCTACAGTCTTTGGAACTTTTTTTGGAGGACTCCTCCCTCCTGACGCTGCCTGCGGCCACGGTTGCCTCCATGCAGTGGCCGTCGGCATCTGCTCAGGGAAGATGAGTCAAGCATTTGGGCTTAACCCGTGCTGGACTTTTAAACAGGAGTTCTCTGGGTTTGTTGGTAAGGGCCTGATGATGGGATGTTTGTACTGTTCACAAGGCCCGTGACCGAAGTTGAGCTTGAGCCCTTATTTGTGAGCTGTAAATCCTGCACCTTCTTCTATGTGCTCTTGACAAATCCTGCTCATGTCCATAAGCTTTCGGAGAGGGATGCTGGGGGCTGCTGTAGGGGTGGCCCCGTGGGCAGAAACCCAGCAGAGCTTTTCACAAAGGGGTATAGAACCACACAGAAATAAAGTCACTGCTCTGGAAGTCCTTGACAAGTGGAACCAAAGTCATCGAAGTCTTTGTTTACCTCCCTCAACTGTTCAACTGCTCTTCCTCTAAGAGCGTCTCAAGGATATTTTGTGGGAATCCAGATCAGGACAACTACATGCTGCTTGCCAAAGGAAAACCAAAGATCACTCTTGGCTTAGGGAAAACTTTCAACAAATGTTAGCAAGGATCTATGTGTTCTGTAGGTTTTCCTGCTGTGAAATAAAAGCAGCAGAGGTATTTTTTTACTGTGATAGAGAGACCATAGACATAAGCGGTGCAGCTTTATGTGTTAAGAGGAAGGAATGTGCATGTGAAAGCAAATGTCCAAGGGAGGCCGGGTAAACGCTGCCTCGGCTGGTGATGGACAACTTCAATGGAAAGCGACGGGGCACCCCTTTAGTCCTCTGTAGTAAAACAACGTAAAATGCTTTTTCTTTCCAGTCATTTGGATGAACCGTAACACTACCCAGCTGTGATAAAATGCAGTTCACTTTATTATTCAACATCAGGCCCAAATCTTCAGCTTTCTTTACATTATTTGTAATGCTCCTTAGCTGTTCATTTCCTATCGTTGAAGGGTATGTAGATTCCCCATGCATAGGTTGCTCTGTTTCAGTAACTAGAGGAGGATTTAATTCCTTTAGTAAACAGGGATTTAACTTTATATTCTCTTAATCTTTGTCAAAGGGCGTGCCTTCCTTCAGGAATGGGAAGTATGCAGCAATTGAGGAAACTATTTACATTCCATGTCAGCGATTAAAAGAACATAAAACTGCTAATACAGGCCTTGCTGAATGTATCAAACTCTCTTGTACCTGTAATAAAGTCAGATTTAGAAAATTGTAAGATGCAATCTCCACCTCTTTTAAAAGTAGGACATGAAAGTACAGTAACTTAACTCTATGAGCATCTGACTAACCGCATTTGGAGATGTTGAGATCTGTTCCTTAAGAAATACAGTATTTATCAATGATTATTTTCTAGTTACCTATCTCTATGGTGGGGTACCCACCAGAAGGTTTGCATTCTACAAGAGTTCTTTATGGTGTAAACAACATGAGGTTCCTCATCTTAGCAGGAGCTTCTAGGTAGTATTATAGAATGCTACAGTTAGCCTTGCCCGTCTTTGGGATTTGTTACATAGGAGGCAGTTCCTAGATCCCAAACCACAGAAAAAGTCAGCCATGGTTTTGCACAATCATTTCTCCCTTTTCTCCTGTATTACTGACTTCTTTGGTTTTCAGAAGAAATAATGGTCTGGGTGTTGCACATCCATGCAGAAGTTGCTTTGGTGGGTGTGTGGAAGGGCTATTCGTTACCTGTTTCTGTAAATCCCACAGTGGATCAGTCTGCACAACTGGTCTGTGCTCCCCAGGACGAGCAATCTCAAGGCCTCTGTGCTCGTCTGGGGAAATTGGTGGCTGCATTGCTTCTACCTGTAATGACGGCATTGAGCATGTTGTCGCTGGCATTGAGGCGGGTGGCAGGTGAGGTGAGGTGTTTCGGGCATGAAGCAAGCAAGGGTGGACACGCTGCCGCTTCCAGGGGGTCCTGCAAGTTCATGGAGTGAAAAATAACGCCCGAGAGAGAAATGAAAAAACGCATTTGTGCAGAGCAGAGGATGGGGAATAAGGGCTGGTAGCAGCAGGCCACATTGGATCTAAGGTAGACTATGGACTCTAGAGGTGGGAGATGGTCATTGCATACCTGGAGAAGGCAGCAACATTTCCATGCTGCAACTCGTGCCCATGAGTCTCCAAGGCTGCAGAGAGGACCAGCAGATGTGCACGCAGACCCTGTCTCCTCCAGCCTGCTCCATCTTCCTGATGTTGGCATGAAATAAGCGGCTCAAATAACTTGAAAATGCTGATGCTGAGCATTGGAGTAGCCATAAAATCAGCATGGTTTAGGTAGAAGTAGAATGCTAAACACAAACGTCTTTTCTTGAGTAATAAGTAACAACACATATGAAGCTCTGATACGTGTGCTGTTATTTTAGTGTAGTTTCATGTAAAGCATGTTATTCCTTGGAGAATGGGGGGTGGGGGGGTGGGGTGTGTGTGTGGGGGGGGGTGGGA